TGGCAGCTAAAGCATTTGAAATATCTGGGTCCAACATATAGACTGCAAGTCTGCTTTCTATTCTCTTGCATTCAAACTTTTCGCATGTGAACTTAACTGGGTCCCAAGCAGTTCCAGCAGCATTGAAATAATAGTTTACTTCATTGTTGAAGTTTGAGAAACCAAAGTCTAAGTCAACTTTGTCTTTGCAAAAGTCGGCGAATGACGTTTTATTTGTTCCCTTTACGTCTGTAAGAGTGAATGGGTCTTGTGTTGGTGCAATGACTAAGTTATTTTTGCTTGGAGTAAGTTCAATAGAAATTTTTCCTGCCCAGTTTGGCAAGTATCTTAAAAACCTGAAGATGAGGAAAGATGACAAAGGAACTCTAAGTTTCAGTTTTACTTTAGTGGCAGCAGTTCCATCTGAACCAGAAAGGTTAACATAAACTCCTGGAACGTTAGGGTCAAGTCTCTTCTTATTTTCTCAATTTGCATACTGGTCTGTTTGTTCTCTAGCTTGTGGTTGTACTGAGTTTTCTCAAAGCGAACCATTCATAGTTTGCCCATGTTACTGTTTGAACTAAGTCAGAGTTAGAATATATCTTATATCCCATGAAAACTTCTGGAGCATATTGGTATCCGACATAGAAAATTCCATTGCAACCTTCTTGTCAGACAACTTGGCAGAAGGTTTTATTTCAATGTCTTGTTCCACGTATAAGAATGAGTTGTCAATAGAAATAATATGAAACCTGTCGCAAGCAATATCTACTGTTGTTGAAGAACCTTCTCCAAACTCACCTACGTTTCCATAAGAAACAGCAGTTGTATATTCGTAAGTTCCAGGAACTATTTCTGACCTTCTAATGCATTGTCGCATTCGTTATACCATTCGGAAACATTTCCGTTCATGGCATCCAAAACTGTTGGCGTTATATTCTGAGCGGCGTACATTTCATATGGGTAAAATATAGAATAGTTGGATTTATGTGTCATAATAGAACCCACTCGTACCAAGCTTTACTTTCTTCCTGACTGAATCTTTAACTCTTCTTTTTCCTTCATTGCCACTACTTTCACTAGATGAAGTTACTTTCTTCACTACTTTCACTTTGTTCTACTCTTCTTCTTTGGTGTCGCTTTTGGTAACTTGCCCTCTGCTTCAAGTTGTTGCATCTTTGCCTCATGTTCACCTAGTATGTTGTAAATTTTCCCATGTCCTTTTTGCCTTTGGGCTCTCGCCCATCTCAGGTAACCTATATCCTAGAAAGATTTTGTCATAGTTTGTATTTGAGTCTTCGCGTATTGTTTGCATGACTCTTTCCTGAGTTTCCGGTTCAAGCTCTTCAAACATAGCTTGTCCATATGGAATATGCTCGTTTCCAAATATATGTTTTTGTAGCCATTCTGGTTTTCTTTCCATGTTACCAACAATATCTTTTGTGAATGGGAAAGCTTTTACCCAATGTTTCAGTCTTGCGTCATTTATTTCTGTAGTTGGTTTTTATTTTGTCAAGGAACATGTTTTTCAATACTAACATTTCATTTGGTACTGTCCATTTGAGTTTTCTTAAATATTCATCCATTCTCGTTCATTGTCTGCAAAGTAAGTTTTTATGACATTTTGCAAACTTTCGTTTGCAAGGTCATGTACAATAGGTTCTCTTCCTTCTCTCTCCCTAACTTTCTTTCTAAACTCTTCACCAAATATACCATCTCTATGGTTCTGTGTAGTTCTTTGAGATAAATGTTCTAGAACGTCAGGTGTTATATTTCCATCAGCCATGTTCATTTCATACTGGTCCAAAATATCTGCATGTTTCATATCTTTCAATGGCATTAAAGCCGCGCTGAAATACCAGCTATATCTGGTTCACCATTCACTTCCATTGCGTCTACAACTTCTTGGAATTGAGGTTGTAAGTTTATGAACCACCTATCCGGATTAGCTTTATGACCCATCTCATTGTAGTTCCATAGTCTGTAGAAACAAAAGTAGGTTTGTTTCCATATTGGTTAGGTTCTGAATGAACTTTAAACAATGTTTCATTTCTATATGTTTTGTTGAAATTTAACCTTTTATTTTCACCGAGTTCAGCCAAAGATTGAACGTTATATGGTCGTAAGTAAAAAGGATTGTTGTATTTGCGTACACTTTCTTTCATTCTTCCATTCTATGCTGAATATTTTCATCTGATTTGGGAGTCTTTTGTATGTCGGCGAACATTTTTCGATATTCTTCTACTATGTCAGCCGAATTTTTCTTAGACTCTTGGAAAGATTCCATATTCCCCGCATACTCTTTTGAGGGTCAAGATTTTTCGGCTGTTTCCAAATCTTCATCTAGTTCTGTGAAGTTAGTTTCCAAAGGAGGGACTTGTTGTTTCCTTCAGGCTCTTCTAGCTGTTGTTGCTGAACTATTTCTTCCATGTCTGGTTGTATCTGAACTTCTTCCTGTTGAGTTTCTTGTACCTCATCTGCTGCATTTCATATATTCCGAGACCGTTTTTAAAAGTTCCCTATCTAAGTCATCCGACTCATAAACCTTTCTTCTTTCGTTCCGTCTCTATTTTTTACGCGTTTCATGAAGAGAGTTGAATTATCATTTAGCTCTGACATCAAATATCTCGGAGTAAATTCATTCATGTCATTGGATGATATGCTATTAAATCATATCCCTTAGCGAGCTTGTATTTTCCAGGTTTGAAATTTATCCCATTTGGTGCTGAACCATAAAGCTAAATAGGTTCGGGTCAGTATTTTCCTTCCTTGAACTTTCTAATAGCTTCTTATATCTGTCACTAAAGTCAAGAGTATCTGGGTAACCATAGTTTCCTTAAGCATTTTTAAGAATTCTTGGTTTCCTTGTTCTCTACTTCTTTTATGTCCTTGCTCTGTTTGTGGGTTGTTGCTGTGCAGTGTTTTGAACTGTTGGTTGTGGTGCAGTGTTTTGAACTGTTGGTTGTGGTGCAGTGTTTTGAACTGTTGGTTGTGGTGCAGTGTTTTGAACTGTTGGTTGTTGTGCTGGATTTTTGAACTGTTGGTTGTTGTGTTGGTTTTGGTGCATGCCTGTGTCTGTGTCCATGTGACGATGTAAATGTTTAGGTAGTCCTGGTGCAGGTGCTCTCTTGGAGGGTTTGGTGGTATATAAGTTCCACTAGCTAGTATATAAGTTCCACCAGCTGGTATATAAGTTCCACCAGCTGGCACATATGTTCCATCTGCAGCATAATGTCCTACCTGACTTTTCGTTTTTAAGAAAGCATTTACTAGGTCTGTTTTGGTCTGTTGTAACTCTTTTTTCTTGACTTTCCACAACAGTTGCTCTAACGGCGTCATAGGCACTTTGAACTGCCTGTCTCGTTGCTGCATCTGTTATTTTCGTCATATTTTGTGCTACTTCTCTTAACTCGTTGTCGAAACCTTCAGACTTCAGTTTCTTTCCAGATGAGAAGTCGTTCACTATTTCACCTTACTATGAAGAGCTTCGAAGGCGTTCTTAAAGTCAGCATTCATTAAAGCTTCATTTGAACTGTCTTCATCCGCTTGTATTTTTGTCCTTATTGACCTATAAGTTGGGCTGCTTTAGCGTTGGCTTGGGCATCTAACCAGTCATTATTAGCTTTTATATATTCTGCGCTTTTCATTGCCTTTTGCATGTCTGCGTCGTTATTTTTACTTTCTTGTGCTAAGTTTTCATACTGTACGGTTTGGTTTTGCAACTGTAAAAGTTTTTCTGCCTTTACATTTGCTTCAACTTCTTTTTTATACTCATCGCTATCCATATATGTCTTCAGGGCTTTTTGTTTTATCTCTTCATCTTTCAGTACTTTATATTGAGTAGTATGGTTTTTCAAATTTATAACATCTTGTTCCATTTTTGCTACTTCTGCTGCTTTTTCTGACACTTTTTTCGCATATTCCTCTGTACTTAGTTCTTTCAGTTGTTCTTCTTTCTTCTTTTTCTCTACGTTTAACTCATTGAGTTTCTTTGTGTGTCTGTCATATTCTAGTTTCTTTTCGTTTTCACTTATTTGTTTCTGTATGTCTATGTTTGACTTTTTGACATCTGTTATTTGATTTTTGAGTGAACTCAAATTCATTTGACTTTGAGGTTATAAGCTGTTCCGTCTGCAGCTCCACCATAGCCTGCCATTTTCGCTAAAAGTGCCGCTCTTAAACCTCCACTCTGTGCACCAATAACTCGGTTTAAAAGCATAGGGTTGCTTGACATTTGTTGCAACATAGTGGGGTCATTCATCATTTGTTTGTTGCAACTGTTGTTGTGGTGTCAGTTTTACTATTGGATGTTTCAATGCTCTCTTCCTCTTACGTATATTCTTACGTAGCTTACGTGGCATTTTAAGTGAAGTTAAAAAGCGGTTTTTGACAGATGTTTATATGACACTATTTGTTCAGCACAAAAAACTACTCGGTCAAAGTGTTGTCAGTTTTGTAAAATAACCGTCCTATCTCATTCTATAATGGGGAAAAGGCTTCTCAAAGTATACTTCCTTGGAACGCCTGTAACTTTTCCTGTAGCGACGATAGACCCTTACTTGTCCGGACAAAGTTATACTAAACATCTTCAGGGCTAGAGGGCACGAAGTGCCTGGAGGCCCCACTACCTTTTTTTTTTTTTTTTACATATACTACTAAGGCATATATTGGTATCGTAAAAACAAGTATTTATGTATTTAGATATTCTATGTCAAATAATAGTAAAAACTTTACAAAAAAATAATCGCCAAATATTTTTCCCCCACTGGCTTTTCCATCATGTAAACCTCGATGTCACTTTTGCAGCCGAGCGGAGCGAGGCTGCAAAAGTGACATCGGGGTTTACATGGATGGGTTCTATATATATACAGCTTGACCGGTAGAAAAGCGGATCGATTTTTATCAATAATTGGACATTCTATTAAAAAAAAAAAGGTATTGGGGCTTCCAGGCACTTCGTGCCCTCTAGCCCCGAAGATGTTTAAAAAAGTTGGAATTGAGGTAAAATTAGATGTTTAGTTTCATGGAACTTGACTGTCCATTGCATCTGCCATTTGTTGGTCGTCTTCTGATGGTGTTCTTGAATGATATTCTTCTTCTTCGGGTACAAATTCGTCATCATCAGGTGAGTCTTGTGGTTCATCTTCTTGAGTAGAGTCTTCTTCTTCAACATCAAAGTCATCTGGTGTATCGAACTGAATGTATGAAAGCCAAATGTTGTATGTGTTTTCCAATTGGCTTTCAACTTGAGATACATTCCATGCATGAGTGTTATTTAGTTTCACGTAGAGTTGCTGACGTGGCTTGAAGACATGCATGAGAATTGGTCCTCCAAATTCGTCCTTGAAAAACTTGCAGTAGCAAACATAAACTGAGATAGAGTCTCCTTCTTCAATGTCTTCTGCTTGGTTAACGAAATGAATAGCAATTTTGCGTACTTGAATTGTGTTGTTGTCTGAGTAAAATAATGGTTTGAACTTGGGGTTGAGTGAGCTAAGACATTGCATTTTGCTGTTTCTTGTCCGTACTCACGTTCTTCTCGTCATCCTGATATCCATACTCTTTAATTTGAATTCGACCCAAAACTGTTCGACTTTTTTTGCAGCTTTGGGTGGAAGACTTTCAATAAGCTGACATATAGTTCTGTCAACCATTATCTTTGTTATTGTTGGAAAAATAGTGACAATTGTGTCACCTAATTCGAATGGGTCAGGTGTTTCTTTTTGTAGTTTGGTAAAGTCTGCAAGAACTTTGTTGAGTTGTTCACAATATTCTTTGTTAAAAGTTGCAGCAACTCTTTCTTCTGGCTTTGAATTGAAGTATTCTTCAGACAATCTGAGTAGTATTTTGCGTAGTTCAGCGTTGCTGTGGTTCTTTGTAATACGGAGCTCGTTTGGTATTGTTTTTGGTAGTGAAAGTGGCTTTGGATTGAGCGAATTGTCTGTTCTGCTTGGAGAATGTGTAGATGCTGCAGTTTGATATTGAGGCTCTAAACCTGTGGGTGCTGAAAGTTTGCAAGCAATTTCTTCAGGTGAATTTGGAGCGAACACGCTAGCGAATGCCATTAGACAAAAATAAACTGTTTTTTTCGGACTACTCATAGAAAAGTTTAAAATAAACCGTTTTCGTCAACGGTAACCCCCTCTATTTTTTTATTTTATTTAATAGTTACCGTTGGCAAACCGTTCCATCTCAAATATTGAATGAACTATAAACGTTTTTTGTTTTCTATATATACTTTTTGTCCAACGGTAAAACTTTTTACACAACGGTTTTTGAGAGTCGTCGCCGTTGACTTTTTTGTAGAGCACTCAAAATAGTATAACTTTGTCCGGACAAGTAAGGGTCTATCGTCGCTACAGGAAAAGTTACAGGCGTTCCAAGGAAGTATACTTTGAGAAGCCTTTTCCCCTTATAGAATGAGATAGGACGGTTATTTTACAAAACTGACAACACTTTGACCGAGTAGTTTTTTGTGCTGAACAAAAAGTGTCATATAAACATCTGTCAAAACCGCTTTTTAACTTCACTTAAAATGCCACGTAAGCTACGTAAGAATATACGTAAGAGGAAGAGAGCATTGAAACATCCAATAGTAAAACTGACACCACAACAACAGTTGCAACAACAAATGATGAATGACCCCACTATGTTGCAACAAATGTCAAGCAACCCTATGCTTTTAAACCGAGTTATTGGTGCACAGAGTGGAGGTTTAAGAGCGGCACTTTTAGCGAAAATGGCAGGCTATGGTGGAGCTGCAGACGGAACAGCTTATAACCCTCAAAGTCAAATGAATTTGAGTTCACTCAAAAATCAAATAACAGATGTCAAAAAGTCAAACATAGACATACAGAAACAAATAAGTGAAAACGAAAAGAAACTAGAATATGACAGACACACAAAGAAACTCAATGAGTTAAACGTAGAGAAAAAGAAGAAAGAAGAACAACTGAAAGAACTAAGTACAGAGGAATATGCGAAAAAAGTGTCAGAAAAAGCAGCAGAAGTAGCAAAAATGGAACAAGATGTTATAAATTTGAAAAACCATACTACTCAATATAAAGTACTGAAAGATGAAGAGATAAAACAAAAAGCCCTGAAGACATATATGGATAGCGATGAGTATAAAAAAGAAGTTGAAGCAAATGTAAAGGCAGAAAAACTTTTACAGTTGCAAAACCAAACCGTACAGTATGAAAACTTAGCACAAGAAAGTAAAAATAACGACGCAGCCATGCAAAAGGCAATGAAAAGCGCAGAATATATAAAAGCTAATAATGACTGGTTAGATGCCCAAGCCAACGCTAAAGCAGCCCAACTTATAGGGTCAATAAGGACAAAAATACAAGCGGATGAAGACAGTTCAAATGAAGCTTTAATGAATGCTGACTTTAAGAACGCCTTCGAAGCTCTTCATAGTAAGGTGAAACTAGTGAACGACTTCTCATCTGGAAAGAAACTGAAGTCTGAAGGTTTCGACAAAGAGTTAAGAGAAGTAGCACAAAATATGACGAAAATAACAGATGCAGCAACGAGACAGGCAGTTCAAAGTGCCTATGACGCCGTTAGAGCAACTGTTGTGGAAAGTCAAGAAAAAGAGTTACAACAGACCAAAACAGACCTAGTAAATGCTTTCTTAAAAACGAAAAGTCAGGTAGGACATTATGCTGCAGATGGAACATATGTGCCAGCTGGTGGAACTTATATACCACCAGATGAGGTACAAGAAACTCCACAGGAAGAAGTTCAGATACAACCAGACATGGAAGAAATAGTTCAGCAACAACAGCTAGAAGAGCCTGAAGGAAACAAACAAGTCCCTCCTTTGGAAACTACAGAAATAAATGACGCAAGACTGAAACATTGGGTAAAAGCTTTCCCATTCACAAAAGATATTGTTGGTAACATGGAAAGAAAACCAGAATGGCTACAAAAACATATATTTGGAAACGAGCATATTCCATATGGACAAGCTCTGTTTGAAGAGCTTGAACCGGAAACTCAGGAAAGAGTCATGCAAACAATACGCGAAGACTCAAATACAAACTATGACAAAATCTTTCTAGGATATAGGTTACCTGAGATGGGCGACCAGAGCCCAAAGGCAAAAAGGACATGGAAATTTACAACATACTAGGTGAACATGAGGCAAAGATGCAACAACTTGAAGCAGAGGGCAAGTTACCAAAAGCGACACCAAAGAAGAAGAGTAGAACAAAGTGAAAGTAGTGAAGAAGTAACTTCATCTAGTGAAAGTAGTGGCAATGAAGGAAAAAGAAGAGTTAAAGATTCAGTCAGGAAGAAAGTAAAGCTTGGTACGAGTGGGTTCTATTATGACACATAAATCCAACTATTCTATATTTTTACCCATATGAAATGTACGCCGCTCAGAATATAACGCCAACAGTTTTGGATGCCATGAACGGAAATGTTTCCGAATGGTATAACGAATGCGACAATGCCATTAGAAGGTCAGAAATAGTTCCTGGAACTTACGAATATACAACTGCTGTTTCTTATGGAAACGTAGGTGAGTTTGGAGAAGGTTCTTCAACAACAGTAGATATTGCTTGCGACAGGTTTCATATTATTTCTATTGACAACTCATTCTTATACGTGGAACAAGACATTGAAATAAAACCTTCTGCCAAGTTGTCTGACAAGAAAGGTTGCAATGGAATTTTCTATGTCGATACCAATATGCTCCAGAAGTTTTCATGGGATATAAGATATATTCTAACTCTGACTTAGTTCAAACAGTAACATGGGCAAACTATGAATGGTTCGCTTTGAGAAACTCAGTACAACCACAAGCTAGAGAACAAACAGACCAGTATGCAACTATTGAGAAAATAAGAAGACTTGACCCTAACGTTCCAGGAGTTTATGTTAACCTTTCTGGTTCAGATGGAACTGCTGCCACTAAAGTAAAACTGAAACTTAGAGTTCCTTTGTCATCTTTCCTCATCTTCAGGTTTTTAAGATACTTGCCAAACTGGGCAGGAAAAATTTCTATCGAACTTACTCCAAGCAAAAATAACTTAGTCATTGCACCAACACAAGACCCATTCACTCTTACAGACGTAAAGGGAACAAATCAAACGTCATTCGCCGAATTTTGCAAAGACAAAGTTGACTTAGACTTTGGTTTCTCAAACTTCAACAATGAAGTAAACTATTATTTCAATGCTGCTGGAACTGCTTGGGACCCAGTTAAGTTCACATGCGAAAAATTTGAATGCAAGAGAATAGAAAGCAGACTTGCAGTCTATATGTTGGACCCAGATATTTCAAATGCTTTAGCTGCCAAAATATATTGCAGTTCCACTTATGTTCCCTATACACCAAATATCTGTCAAAGACTTTGCAGGTGAAGTTGGAAACCAAAGTGCTGACCCAGGTCAAGAACAGATATTGCTTTAACAACTGCAATGAAACATGCAGATACTATGTTTGTACTGTTCAGACGAACTATAAATGACTATTCTTGTTTCTACAACCCCGGTATTAAATATCATATAAACATAGATGGCAAATATTATCCAAGAGAAGAATATTCTACAGTTGAGGATATGAGGTCATACAACTTGACATTAGATGCTATGAACTTTAACAACAACTTCACAACAACCATTAACCCTGAAATGCAAAGTTCTATTATGCCATATGTGAAAGTATGGACTCATACAGGAGGTCAAAAAACTCAATATACAAATGGAGACCGTTCAAACTTTTGGCTTGGCATTCCATTTGCTGACTCAGAAGACTTTATGGGTGGTATTTCAACTGTTGGTACTGTACAAATACAATATACTGGTGACAGAGACGGTCCAGATGAACTGAGAGCAAAGAAGTTTACAAAACCAATAGCACTTTTCACGGAAGATGCTCTTTTGAAGATTCGTTCGATGAAACCTGCTGGGCTCCTCAGATTGGCATAACGACAGCTTCCATCGAGCAGATTTTGGCAGCAGGTCAGTAAGTTGTTCTTGAACTGACTTCTCTCCGTCAAATATTGACAGTACGCCAGTTTTGACATAATATTGTAAGATAAACTTACCTTTAGAAATATCTGTAAGTTTTGTTGTTATATTTTTGTCAACGTCAAGAACTTTTCACCATTTCAGTTATACCAACTTTCTTTGCTTTATGGAAATATTTTGGTTCAGCAAATATTGCTATTCTATAACATTTACCATTGTTTGTATAAAGAACTATTCTGTCAATGTATTTGTATTGTTTGTGTGTGTAAACTTTGTTCTGCTTCAATTCGAAGAGATACTCGAATACGTCCATCTTTTTTATTCTAAGTAAAATGTCATTTCCGAAAAATAGAAGCGTAAGTGTTTCAAAAGTTTAATGGCGGTGGCAGATGTGAAGTTAAATTCACCAACTCAAACAAACAGTCAAAGTGTTATTGTCAATGTCAAAGACAGAGATGTTGAAGTGGGGAAACCATACGAGGACGAAGATGGTATAAAATTGTTCCTGTAAAAGAACCAACATATCCTGAAGTTAGCAGAGACTTAAGTTCTGTTGCAGATATTCGAAACGACTACCAACAACTGAAAGCCAAACTTCAAACTCAGGAGAAGATTTGTCAAGCTTTAAGTATAATGTTAAACTTGGTCGAACACAACCCTGTAAAAGTGAACTCATATGTCATTGCACCTCATGAAGTTTTGAAAGAACTATTGAAACTTTTGACAGAGGCAGACGATATAAACATCAAAGAAATAGAACCCGACATTAGTTGCTGTGGTGTTTCATATAATGTCATTGACAAGATATACGTTATGAAAGGAGGTGAAACGTTGAACTTAAAGTATAGTTTCCCAGACGTCATAAAAATATTTGACGACCACAACATTTCATTAAAATTTATTTGCTAAGTAAAAATGTCAAAACTTCTTGAAAGATGTTTGAAGAAAAATAATATAGACTTTATTTCATGTAAAGGACTTTACACACTTTTGAACGATATGAAAGACCCTGTTTTGTTTGTTCGTGTAGACAAAGGAAAGTTCTATGTCTTTACAAAATATTTGAACTTCTTAGACAG